GACCCTAAACCCTAAACCCTGAATCCCTCGGTATCCTTCAAGAAAGGAGCCGTGGAAGGAAACCTACTGCTTGAACTTCAATTCTTTAAGGTTTACCTAAAGTCTCCATTGTAGTTCCTTCTTTGGCTAACCAGTTTTATGGTTAGGATCCTACAAAAGAGGTTTTGGTTAACCAAAAAAGGAACTGCAATAGAGACTATAGGTAGGACATTCGTGCAGGGTATAGAGAACTTAAAAACCCCTCAGAAAACCGCTGTAGAAGCCTATCTAGAATGACTTGTAAAACCGAGAAAACCCGATAGCCTGATTTAGGCTTTCAGAAACCCCGCAGCCGCCTGTGGGATATCCACCTGGTTGATCACAGGTACCTCACTGCTTGGGAATCGGTTCGGGTCTACTTACCATATAGCCTGAATAGTATAGCTAGAATACGATTTCTAACATGTCGAAACAAACAGATCAGCAGCTTACGGCAACGGCGACTCGGGCCACTGCGCAGATTCGGGCATGAAGCTTACGGATTTAGAGACACTTGTGTTGGGTTATTTGACAGTTCAGCATTTTAGTTTAAGCCCAATGCCATGCAAGAACTGGCCTCTATGACCTTCTCGAGGGTCTCTACCACCGGAACCTCGACGTGCTTCTGAACCTGCTCGGTTCAAAAGCGTCCAAAGGTCTCCAATACAGCTCACGCAATCCTGACACTCTAAGAAATCATGCGCGCAATCAGTATCTGTTTTGGCCTTAAAAACAGGAACGATATAGGTACTTTAGGGCCAAAGTGTATGCTATATGGCACATGGAGCCTAAGGGACAGAAAGGGACAGAAACATTACTGCAATTCAGAACCCTTGCATGCCCTTGTGGCTTTCTTTCCATCTTCATCAGGGATATAAACGAGCTCTGAACCCTCGCATACTGCAAGTGATCAAGCCGTCCGGGCGAGAGGGCAATCCTTCGCTTGGTCCTGAATGTCTGAGGAGGCCTTGGATATGGGAGTTTCCGAAATAGATGACCCTAATATAGTACCCTAAATAGTAGGATCCTTAGCATAAGGATCCTAAAATAAGGTACCCCTAATTTTCGGAAACTTCCATATGTCTTCCAGCCGGGGCTGGATGTGTGCCCTCCAAGGCTGGCCTTCCCGCCGGCTCCCTTGTCCTGGCCCGTGGTGGTACCGGTGACCCAAAGACTCCAATATCCGTTAATTAAGGAATATACCTTAAATTATAGTAGGATCCTGAATATAATTTAAGGTATATTCCTAAATTAACGGATATTGGAGTCTCTGTGGATAGCGCTCTCCTGATCGGTCTAGACGACAATCCTTCGGTAGCCAAAGACTTGAAGCAGAGCGCAGCGTCGGCAAGGTGATCCTGTTCCGACCACCTCTCCGGAAGCTGTCCGACGGCATGCAGGGAAGGGTGCCTCCCACACTACCCAGGACTCTTTGGGGCCACACCGAATATATAAGATAGGTACTCTAAGCTCTAATCCCCAAACTCGTATCGTGACCCTTATATTAGGTATATCTTAGAGGAGCGCTTATAGTTCTCCCGGAGCCTTTGGAGACATTATCCGGTCATTGAGCATCCACGGTTTGTCAATCCTCTGCCATCTTCCAGGCTGTGCCCTGAACCACGGAACCCCGGGCCCGGAAGCCCCAAACCTTAAACCCTAGGGTTTAGGGCTTAGGTTTTAGGGTTTAACCCTGAACCCTAAACCCTACCTTAGGGTTTAGGGTTTAGCCCTGAAGCCCCAAACCTTAAACCCTAGGGTTTAGGGTTTAGGTGTTAGGGTTTAACCCTGAACCCTAAACCCTACCTTAGGGTTTAGGGTTTAGCCCTGAAGCCCCAAACCCTAAACCCTAAACCCTAAACCCTAAACCCTACCCCTAAACCCCAAAACGCTAACTCCTAAATGCGGAGCAACTCGGAAAACAGCGAAGGGTGGTGTTCAGAGATAGGGATGCCTACTTGGAGGGTCGGGGGACTTAGCAACTGGTTATTTTAGGGACTTATAAGTACCTTAACCCCAATTAAGGTCCCTTTTAGGGTACTTATAAGTCTACTTACTACCTACTTACTAAGTCCCCCGACCCTCCAAGTATCTTCAGGACGAAGGTTTTCGGGCTGAGATTTGAAAACTGACATTTCTTGAAGGATCCAGGTTGCCTGTCAAGAAGGGCCCTATGCTTTGATGCTACTTTTGGGGGAGTCGAAATTAGGAAATCTTTCCGAAACTCCAGCGGGCCAAGACAAATAGCATGGTAATCAGTCAACCTTCGAATCATGACTGCAGTTCTCTCAAATGTTGTCCATCAGCCATAAGCGAACTCACGATGACAATCGTCCCCCGACTGCTTTTAAACACAAAACACAAATGAGTCAAACCCTAAGTAAACTCTCAGCCCACAGAGAGAAGAACAATCCGAAACCCTGAACTCCCAACCAGGGTTTAGGTTTATTGGACAATCTCCGCAAACCCGTGAACCCCTAAACGCAGAACCGCTAGAGCCCAAAGCCTACGCCCCTATAAACCCAAACCCTACTGTAGGGCCTTAACATACAGAATAAGGTTTGGGGGCTATAATGTACTATAATTACAGAAAGGATACTATACTTATAAACAAGGAACCCCCGAAACCCTATTCTAATTATTAAGGTCTCTGTTCCCTCATAGTAATTAACCCTTATAGTAATCCTCACAGATCCGTTTTGAAGGAACCCTTCAAGTAGTCCTCTTCTAGTTATCATGGCCCGACATTAAACCCCTGAAAGCAGCCTTCTGGATGAGAGGCACGTGTCGGTGCACCCTTAGCAGAAGACGCTTCACAGATTGATTTGGAAATTGGCTTCAAGGTTTTGGGTTTGGGGTTTAGAAGGTTTAGAGTTTAGGGCTCTAGGGCTCCATGGTTTATAGGGTTTAGGGATTTGGGTTAGGGTTCAGGGTCGGGGTTGGATTTCTCTCTTTTGAACACCCGCAGCCCCCAAACGAGTGCATTCGGGCTGCGGAACCGGGACCTCGATGTCCTTGTCTACTATCTGCACCTGAGGCACCTGCTCGGCGTGAGGCGGAAGCTGGTTCCAAAGGGGTGCCGTGGTTTAAGCTTTGGGGCTTTGGGTTTATGTGTACCTGGACCCTAAACGTATGTATAATAATAGCCTTTCATGGGTATTGGGCCGTAAGTTTACCTACTTTGAAGGGTTAAGTAGGGTCTATTGCTCAGGAGTTTAGGGGTTTACCGTAGATGTGTGTGTGTGTGTGTGCGTGTGCGTGTATTGAAACCGTTTCCTGAGCAGGTATCCCGGAGAGCCTGTTTGGGCAGGTCAGTGCGCAGCTTTGCCGTAGGTTTTGGTTTAGGGTCTCTAGAACACAAGAAGTAGTGTTGATGTCGTTCATAACTTTGCCTATAGTCTCCGTGCTAGTTCCTTTTCAATTTTATAGCTAGGATCCTGAAGGGAAACCACAAAATGGAGACTGTGACCGTGGGTAAAGCTTAGAATGTGTATCCAGACCTGCCAAAATCCGTTAATTCCAAAATCCGCTAACTGAGGAATATGCCTTAAAGTATAGTAGGATCCCCGATATGACCTAAGGAATTTGGAAGGTCTGGTTTGAATAGGCTGGTGGTCTCTTTATCTGTTCCTATAGTATAATACTGCCTAACATAGCCCTAATAAGGATCATAATAAAAAAACCCTGAAAACAGAAACAGGAGATCACCGACTTATATAAGGTCTGGGTATTGAACCCTGGACCCTGGGGATTCAAAAGACAAACTGACAGCAAGAAGACTTCATGCCTTGAACGGCAGTCTGGTTCTTAGGAGGGAATGGGAGAATGGAGCCCTCTTGTAGTCCCTATCGAATCCCCAATAATAGTCTCCATAATCCATTCCCCCATTTACCACTAAGAACCAGACAGAGAGTCCTGGGAATAAGGGTTCGGTTCCCGTAAAGGGATTCACAAGGGCTCCCTTAAAGGGATCTACAGGGTTTAGAGTTTACTTGGGCTTAAAAGAACCTACCTTTATCTTAAAAACTTGTTTACAGAAATCATACTAAGGAATCCTAGGATAGCTTATTCAGAGTTGATGTAGGGCTTAAGGCAACCTCCACACACCAACGCCGCGTCAAATCTCAGAATCGACAGGCTTTGGCTTTAGGTCGAGGGATGGTCTAGGGCTTAGAGTCTCGGTTTAGGGTTTAGTGTTTAGGGTTTAGGGCTTAGGGTTTAGGGTTTAGGGTTTAGGGCTTAGAGGATTTCGCGATTTAGAGGTTCTGACAAGTGAACAGTTCGTCCAACCCGAAGTGCATGTCCAGGGCTTCACGGTTCCCAGAGCCTCCAAAACCCCTGAATTAAGGAATATATCTTAAATCATATTAGGGTTCCTACTATAATTTAAGGTATATTCCTTAATTAAGGGGTTTTGGAGTCTCTGGGTTTGAGGCTGTTTGGCTTTCGGGGAGAGGCAAGAACCTCAAAACCTTCCCGGCTCAAGCGTCCATGAGGACTGGCCAGATGAAGGAGTCAGAAATGTCTGCATAAAGGTCTATTCGGGTTTAGGGTTTAAAGTCTATGATCTAGGAGTCAGTGATGGGTTTGGAATTGAAAGTTGGAAGTTTACCTGGGGTTGCATCATTCCATGCTTCCGACCCACCATCCTCCATGTGACAGGGCGCCGCATTTTCCATCTCGCGTCAGGATGATCCCTAAACCCCTTAACCCTAAACCCCAAATCCAAACTTTCGGACAGTGAGGACCCCGATATCCAAAGTCGCTGCTTCTGGAATACCCCTTTCACCCCAAACCTAAGATCCTTATGTTCAGATGCTTCTTTGCCCGCTCCTCCCCCACCCCCCCCGACCCGCCCGAAAGCACATAAGCAAAAATTGGGATAGGGATATCCCATATAAACCCCCTTATAAGGAAGCCCATTATGGTAGGGATATCCCTATAAAATGCTTATGCTTATGAGCTTTTTTGTCCCCTACTGCTCAGGCGTCTCTCAGAAAGTGCAGGTCGCGGAAGGCTGCTTGGACCAGGTTCTCCTATGCTGAGCTTGGTAGCTTTGCGCTCATTTTAGGGTTTAGGGTTTAGGGCCTTGCAGAAATACTACCTGCTTGTCAGAGAGTATAATGACCAAATAGTAAAAAGTGTCTCAAAGTACCCCTAAGTTTCGGAAAAACTCGAGATGCTGCGCGATCTCGGCGTCAGGGCGGCGTAGGTCACGACGTTGGGAAGCAGCTGCTCCGCCTCTATATTATGTGACATATACCTATAGTCTCCATTGCAGTTGCTTTTGGTTAACCAGCTCTATGGTTAGGATCCTATACTGGCTTTTTTGTTGACCAGACAAAGGAACTACAATGAAGACTATAGGTAGGGTTTGAGGTTGTAATTTAGGGCGCAGGGTTTGGGAGCCCAGGGTCTCGGAGTCTAGGATCACCGCAAACGTGTCAAGAATCGAAACGTCTTCGATCTTGATTTGGAAGTTTCCGAAGATAGGGGTACCGTATTTTGGGGTCCTCAAAAAAGGGGTCCTATTATTTCGGGTACTAGAGTAAGGTCTTCTATTTTCGGAAACTCCCATTTAGGCGGAGGGAGAGTGGTCTCATGGCTGATTGTAGGGCTGGGGAAAAGGGCACCAGACATGAGGCCACAAAGTTAGACCACACGGGAAAAGCGAGCCAATGAAGCCGAAGCATGAGATGCTCTTCGACATACAGATGAAGCAGAAAGTGCGTTGGTTTAGCACGATCGGCGAGAGTGAGAGAAAGCGAAAACCTGGCACAGCACGAGACAAGGGAGGGCAGGGGATTGGCCTCGTGTCGGTTCATATGCACTTGGCCGTGTCTTCCCGACTTCCACGACGCTTGCTGCCAGCCTGCCTCCATGCGTTGCAAGAGCTCTGCTGCCTGGTCGGTAGCCGAACCCTTTGCGCAGGCAGAGATAGCCGAGGTATAGGTGACCACTTCCTTCCGAACGCTTCCATTAAGGGTTCATGTGCCCAAATAGTAGAGAGAGGGAGAAACAGAGAGAGAGAGAGAGAGAGAGATACGTATGTGTATATATTTAAATATAAATATGTGTGTATATATACATACATATATACATACATACATACTTCGGGCTTAAGGTAGTCACCATTTCGATACCTGGGGGCCAAAGTGTATGGGTAGTTCTCGAAATCAAGGCTCAACATAGTACGACACCCTTATGAAAAGGTAAAAGGGACCCTAATTTAGAGAACTACCCATATAGAAGCGTTGCAGTACCCCTATACGGCCCTATAGAACCCTGAAAGATGCCTTTAAGGAGCCTTAAAATCGTCCTAATTTAAAAAACTACCCAAAAGGCTATTTGGGCACATGAACGCTTGGGAATCAGGTCCTGGCTTGGCTTCTCGTCATGGCATAGGAGTTCAGGGAGTAGTTTAGGGTTTAGGGTTACAGAGGCCTACATAAATACCAATGCTGTTGTTTTGGGATCCTTATTGCAAGTCTAGTATCATGTACACCACAAACACCCTTTTCGAGTTATCAAGGTCCCCATATTAGTTGGAGCTTTTGTTTTTCTCGCCCAACACTGATCTTGTGCAAAGTCTTCAGGACGATGCATGCTCTGCCAAGAAGATGCAAAGTCTGCAAGACGGTCATGAAGGACGTAGTAGTAAACATCCTTGCTTGCAAAAGCTCAGAGGGAAACATCTCCTACAACTCTCCTAAAGCCGAACACGCAAAACTCCTAAACCCTACACAGCGAAGCCCTAAAACCGGACACCCTCAACAAACCTTACTGAAGCCCTAAACAACTAGATCCTACAAGCCCCCTCCTTCGCCACGTTCCTCAGCTCCATCTCCGTGAGCAGGCAGAGGAGTCGCTGCCACTGGCCACCCTGCTCCTGAACAGCAACCCATAGTCTCCCAGAAGGGGTTTAGGGTTTTAGGATTTAGGGATTTAGGGATTTAGGGGTTTGGGGTTTAGGCTGTTATCAACTTTTTCAGAGGGCATCTTTCGGGCTTGGGGTTTGGGGTTGTACCAGGACCCTCCTTGCACCCTCAAATAGGGGTAGATGGTCCCAAATAAAGGGCATTTAGGGTCTAATAGAGGGTAAATGGAGGGTCTAGGTCCATTGTAGTTCCTTTTTTTTTGGTCTAACGAAGTGTACAACGACGATCCTATAAGTAAGGTAACCTCAAAAGGGAACTAAAATTAGGTACTGTTATAACCCGAAACCCTAAACCCCAAGGTAACCCCAAAATAGGAACTACAATGGAGGCTATACGGTTGATGATATAAATCCTGCATGACCCATAATAAGGAATATACCATAATTCCCATAGTTTAGGGTCCTTAAGGTAATGCAGGATTTATATCATCAACAGTAGGAAGCGCAGATCAAGCTGATGCGAAGCTTCGCGAGGCGGAAGCTAGAGGACTTCGGAGTTGAGGGATTTAGGGATGTAGGGGTTTAGGATGGTTTAGGGGTTTAGGGATTAGGGTTTAGGGTTGAGTTATCAACTTTTTCGGAGGGCATCTTTCGGGCTTGGGGTTTGGGGTTGTACGAGGACCCTCCTTGTACCCTCAAATAGGGGTATATGGTCCCAAATAAAGGGCATTTAGGGTCTAATATAGGGTAGATGGAGGGTCTAGGTAGGCTGTGCATCAGGAGCCAGCTGGCTCCATGCCTTGCAGTTGCGCGGGTGCATCGTGCAAGTGTCTTTGGGCGGGCTGTTGCTTACTTTATTTGAGTCAAAGAAGTCCAGAAGTGTACTTCGACAGCTGCACAAGCAAAACTCTTACAAAACCGATCATTTAAAACACTACCCGCACCCTAACTTTTTAGTAGGGATATGCATGAGGGAAGTTTTAAGGTAGGTCTTCTCGGGTTCAGGTACGTGCTGCTTCATAACCAGACTGGCACATGTTCGTCCTAAATTATTGTACTTCGGTTGATGATATCAATCCCCATAGTCTAGGGTCATTAAGGTAATGCAGGATTTATATCATCAACCGTTCCCCTGTTGTGGCACGCTTACAGTTACACCCTGGTCCTTGCCATGTGAAACTTTGATCAGGACCTACCTGTAGTCTCCATTGCAGTTCCTTATAGGATCCTAATTATATATTTGGTTAAACCAAAAACAGGAACTACAATGAAGACTATAGGTAAAAACTAAACCCTAAACCCCAACCTACTAAACACTACACCCCTGAGGGGTTCAGGACAGTTCACACAGGCAGTGATCGCCGCGTTGAAGGTCGCGCTGTCCGGGCACAAGCTTCCCTCGATCATGTCCCAGAAGAGGCGTAGGCCTAGGTTTCCCAGTGGTTTAGGGTGAGGGTCCCCTCCCTGAACCCCAAAGAACCTGCCTTGTTTAGGACTTAGACAAGGAAAGTAAAATATGGAGCCATTGAACATATAGGCTGCTTGCGGGTCCAGGTGTATCATGAGAGTATCTTTTTGCTGCTATGCAGTCGTCATGAAGAGATCCCCAAACAAACGGACAGAAACAGCACTACCGGGCTCCCGAGAGGCAATGCCTCCACTGCACCTTGCCTGGGCAGCGAGGTGGCTCGGAGTGGTAGTGGAGGTTACGTAGTGGCAACTACGACAAGCAAGAAGACTTGCGGTGGATGGTGGATAGTATGGGGCCTTAATACATTGACATATGAAATATTAATATGTTGACTGAGGGTTTCGGGGTATATTCATACCACGGCACGGTGACGAATAAGACTGATAATTAACATATTCAGGCTTCTACTCGTCTCCTGTTCTCGGGGCTTCGCGCCGTGACTAAATCGGAACCTGCTTGCTACTCCTGCGAGCTGCAAGCACTCATGCCAGTGTTGAAGCTCACGACGCTGGCAGCTCTCCTGTCTGTATGTGAAGGAACACAGCAGGGACTTTCCAACACGGTGGGTAATAGATTAATTATGTGATTATGGCAGGCTACGATGCTATGTGGTACCGTTACCTGGTCGCACCGCATCACATCAACGGTCCTCCTCCAAAGCAAGGACAGCAAAGAGAGCGCATGCTCCCAAACTCCAGCATTCTCGCATGCGCTGATGGCCGCGTTGATGCAACAAGTGTCCTGGGATTTTATGGCATACCTTGACCCCAGATAACCTACGTTTTCAAGGAAGAAATCAAAATCACGAACCCTCAAAAGGAGGGTTCTATCGGATTTTGATAAGGTTTACGGGGTAGTGTGGTCAGGTGCCTAGGGTCGGCAAAGCCTTCAAGTGAGGCTCGGAGCGCAGCCGTGCCCACATCTGCACATGTCCCTTTTGAAATCTGTCCCAAAAAGTATGAGGTTACGTACCATTGAGGTGAGGGAATGTTCGACACTCTAAACCCCTCAACACGCCAAAGCCCTAAACCTTGGAACCCCAAATTCGAAAACCCCCAAACCCTAAACTCTTAGACCCAGACCCCAAAACTGAAACTCTACCCTGCCCTATCCTACGCTACCCTACCCTGCGCTACGCTACCCTACCTATACCCTCGACCTCTCGAAGCACGGCTGAGTATCGGGGGCCAGGGAGAAGGAGCCGGCAGAGCTCAGCAGTGAGCATGCCACCTCCCAACCTCGGGATCTTCGGTAAGGGGAAAAAGGGACTTGGAGTTCGGGGTTTAGGGTTTAGGATTTAGGGTTTAGGGTTTAGGGTTTAGGGTTTAGGATATAGGTTTACAGTAAACTCCATAAAGTTGGAAACCGAATTAAGGCCGAATAGTGCTGGGATCCCCTATACATTAATCTTAAGGATTGAGGATATTGGGTTTCCAACTTTTGGGCTTCTACCATATAGGGTTTAGGTTTGGGGTTTAAGGTTAATTAATGTTAATTAAGGTTCAGGGTTTAGGGATGTTTAGGGGTTTGCAGGGTTCAGGGTTCCGACAGTCTTGTTGTTTCTCTTGTTTTTGTTTCTAAGGCTTCAGGTACCAGCCTTGCCTGGTACCAGACTTGCCTGCTACCAGCTTGATAAGGTTGTGACGGTGTTCGGGTGTGCCCACGGAATCCTACAGCCTCATTATAACGATACCTTTCTTGGGGGGCGGCCTTGGCGGCGTGCGCACTGTCACTCAAAATACTTGTTGTCTCCATTGCAATCCCTTTCTAGGGTTACCTTAGCCGATCTCAAATGTATAGCTGGCTAAACCAAACAAGGGGACTCCAACAGAGACTATACGTAACAGTTATAGAAACCCTATAGTAAACCTGACTTGCAGAAACCTTATAGTACTTTCCCGCCCGGGGCCTTCTTCCCCTAAGGGTCCATGTGCCCATATACTAGATACTTTGGCCCTAAAGTACCTATAAAGGGACTACTTTAAGGCCCATGTATCTACTGTATAGGTACATGGACCCTTCGGGTTCGATCTCCTTTCGCTGGACCCTTCGGGTTCGATCTCCTTTCGCTCTGTAGGTCCCTTCTTCATGCTAGCTCAGACTGGAAGAGCCTGTGCAAGCACGCGACTCCCTGCTGCTGCTCAAAGAAGTAAACCAGAGGCCCGATATGGGAGTTTCCGAAAATAGGGGACCCTTTAAGGGTTCCTTTAAGGGATCTCTAAGGGTCCTATTAAGGGTTTAGGTTTGGGAGTTTCCAAAAATAGGGGACCCTAATATTGTACCCTAAATAGTAGGATCCTATTATAAGGACCCCAAAATAAGGTACCCCCTAATCTTTGGAAACTCCCATGTAGAAGTCTTTAGCATAGAACCCGGGAAACCGTGCCAAGCTTCATGCTAAAATTACCGATGATGACGGGCAGGCATGCGATTGACAGTGCAGAAGTATCCAAACAAGCGTTGAGACTCGCTTGCCAGTGCACGTGCCGTCATGAACTCCGTGATCATGAACCCTACAACCGCTTCTAGTGTTGCTGTTGCTGACATTCATGCCTGAGTGGAGAAGATGATGACGATGGCAGTGGTGCCGATGCGGTGGTACTGTCGGTAATGCCTTGTTGATGATGCTGTTGCTGCTGGTGATTGGGACGGTGATGATGATGACGATGCGGTGATGACGGTGAAGATGGTGACGACAGAAGCCAGATTTATATCCACCGTGACAGTGCTCGCTTCGTCGATGCGTCTCCGGGCTTCTACAAGCCAAGTTCGTTCAGCGCACTCGGGCATAGGTTTCAGCGTGTGATACTTACAGTACCAATTACAGTATAATGAGAACAGTCCTCCTGTTTCACTTAGGGGCTCAGTACCTCGGCCCATAAAGGGGTGCCGGTTAACCTTCTCAGTTCTGGTAGGGTTATATAAAGCCCAAAAGGTTAAAGCTTACCTACTCAGGAAACTTACCTTTGGTTAGTAGGGAATGGAAGAATGGTGGTAATAGTAGTTTTACTTGTACCCCATTCCTCCATTCCCTACTAACCAAATATAAGTTATAGGAGTATTAAGGCCGCTCTTTTATAGTACCCTTATAGTAACCCTTATAGACCCCTTTAGAAGGCCCCTTTCATTCCCTACTAACCAAAGGTAAGTTAAGACATACTTGCCAAGGAGCGCTGGGTGCAGGCCACGATCGCCGCGCTCAGGGCAAAAAGGTCCACGTCGGATGGACGGACCTTCAGGTCTAGGGTGTACCTTACCACGGAATAACCTGCCTCTTTAAGGACTTGTATGAGGAAATTATAATGAAGAACCTTCAAAAGGTAGGTTCTCTAGGGTCCAGGTAGCCAGTGTAGCCTATGCATGTCGGAGGCCTGTGCAGCGCAAGACAGCCGTGTCGGCTGTATGCCACAGCAACTGGTATTATGTTGCTAGGCATATGTTGCTGGCCTTGGTGGTGAAACTTGTTGCGGCAACTGCACGCGAACATCTGACAGAAAGACAGAGCAACGAAACCAGTGATGATGATGATGATGATGGTTCATTGCTGGTTCATGCCCATGATGACGGTGCTGATGATGCTGCCGACGCACAGGACCACGGCGAGCTACCGGCCAATACCACCACTACCACTACCACTACCACTACCACTACCACTACCACTACCACTACCACTACCACTACCACTACCACTACCACTACCACTACCACTACCACTACCACGACCACCGCGACCACGACCGCGACCACGACTACGACTACGACGACGACGACGACTGCTACTACTACTACTACTACTACTACTACTACTACTGCTACTACTGCAACTACTACTGCAACTACTACTACGACTACTACAACAACAACTACTACTACTACTACTTCCACTACTTCCACCACCACCACCACTACTACTACTGGTATTACTGCTACTACTACTACTACTACCACCACCACCACCACCACCACCACCACCACTACTATCACTACCACCACTACTACCACGACCACCACTGCTACCTCTACTACAACTACTACCTTTACTACCACTACGATCACTACCACTACTCGTACGGCGACGATGCGCAGCAGCCGCAGGAATGTAGATGTAGACCTCTGTATAAGTAATATATGTACATATAAACATAAACATAAACATTTGTATGTATACATACGGTTATAGGTGCGTGCGGCGTGGGCATACATGCAATGTGCAATAAACATGGACAACTAGAACGAACACTACAGCGAGTTGTCTCAGCGTCTCTGCTTGCGTGCGCGGAAGCCCGAATCCTACAATAAGTGCCTCCCTAAACCGTGAACCTTAAACCTTCAGCCCAAGCATCCTCCCCCCATATCGTAACTATTCTAGGACCCCTTGTAGAACAGAACCCTCCGCCCCAGCCTCTGCGAACAGGGCCAAAGCCATCTCCCAGAACGAAGCTCGACCACAGGCGCCGATGACCACAGTGTAGGTCTGGATACTCGCCTTATTTCGGGTTTAGGTTATGTTGTTTTTTTTAAGTGCAATGGCTTCTTTCTGTGCTTCGCGAACGATGCTGCAGGATAAAGCCTGCCTCCAGATGGGGTCTACACTGAACAGCAGAGCTATCATACATCGACAGCCAGCTGCACTTCCATGTCCAGTTTAGGGTTTAGGGTTAGTACACCCCAAACCCAATTCTAGCTATGACGGCCCCTTAAGCTTTTTTCAGCCTTACGGAGTTGCAAGGCCAATGCACGCAGATTGAGGATCGTGAATAATGAGAGCTCTAGGAGTCTTTGAGGGTTTACTAAGAGAAGATGCTGGTTTAGGACGGATTGGCTAGGGATACTCATACTCTGCAGTCTCAAACCACCCGGAAGGAACTTTTCATTTTTTGCCGAGGGGACCGAGGTCGATAGCTCCCTCGGTAGCTGCTATCTGCATCCGCTGAACACTCGGTCGGGTTTAGGATGTAGAATTTAGGCCGCAGACAATGCAAAACCTCAACCCTTCAATCCGAAGCCCCACAACTCTGAATGCTAAAGCCCTGAACCCTAAACCCTCTAGCCTGAAACACTGCAGCCCTAAACCCTGAAATCCAGAACTCTGAAGCCACTGAACCCCCGAACCCCATAACCTCCAACGCCCAGAAGCCTCAAACACTCAGACACTTCACTAAACCCAACCTCAAAACCCCCCCTCCCCACCAAAAAACACTGTTTTTTGTGTGCCTGATTCTGATTTCCTTACATAGCTCCATGAAAAGGTAAGTTTTCCGGTGTTAAGGAAGAGAGCAGTCCGAGAATCTTGGCGTAGAAAAACCGCATCCCGCAGCAGCGACATTGCCGCTTCCCACCTGAGCTTCTTGAAGCTTGCCTGGTTTAGGTTGAGCGGCTTGAGAGTGCAGGGCTTGAAAGGGCTAAAGGTTTAGAACTTATACACAAGATTCTCTATGTATTCAATGTTTTTTGGCTGATTGTTTCTTCTGCAAGTTCTTAAAGAATAAGTATGTAAGAACTCTTTCAGGAGATGCAGGTTCACACTTTTCAGGCCACCATCGCAATCAATTTCACTATAAGCCCCGTGGTTATCATCATGACCCTTTTTCAGTCTTGGCAGTTTGCCTTTACTGCGGTGACCTCTGCCCAGGGCCCCAAATCATAAACAGACCTCCCACCTTTAAAAATGTGGGCCTGTCCCTCAGAAATACTCTACCAACATTCCAAGGTAAGTCTCAGGCGCACAAAGAGGGTCTGATGCATGCAAAGTAACTAGGGGGTGTATTTAGGAGATGTAATGTTCGTCGTAGGCTTCTTGAATGGGAGTTCTGGACTTCTGAGTGCATGGAGCCCGCGATCTGAAAAGTCGAAGCGATGGTGCTGTAGTTGGGGTTGTGGGGGTTTAGGATTTATGGTTTAGAGTGAATCTTAAGTTCTGAGCCTACGGCTTCTGCCTGCGAGAAGATGAGAACCACACTTGTGAGGCAGCAAGATGAAGCGTAGGCAGGGGCCTTTAACTCTTCCCTCTCTACTGGTGTTCACACCACCTAGCTTTGCTGTCTAAAACCTTCAGGTTCAAAAACAATGAAGTAGTGAACCCTAAACCCTAAACCGCCGACCGCCAAAAACACTGAAATCGTTCATCTCGTGGAGCCCAGGCACTTGCGGGGCACTTCGCATGCGCTGGCAGCCGACTGCAGCAGGATCCTGCGAAAAAAGCACTCCAAGAGGGTTAAGGTTTTAGATGTTGAGGGTTTAGGTCTTAAGCTTTGGGGGCGTAGTAATTTAGGTCTTAGGGTGCCTCCTGGGCGGAGGGTTTGAGATCGGGAGGCTCTCTCTCTCTCTCTTGGCTTTCTGGGGCTTCGGCGTACCTAACGTCTCCATTGTAGTTCCTTTTTTGGTTTAACTAACCATATGTGTATATATATATATATATATATACATACATACAAATCTCGATATATATATATATATATATATATATATATGTACAAAAGATATATATATATATATATGTATATATGTAGATGGGATCCCTACAGGTTAACCCCGAAAAGGAACTACAATGGAGACTATAGGTAGAACCCGAGGTTGGCAAATACGGTCAATCTCTTCTGGGCGTCTTTCTTCGTGCTCTCTTCGGTTGAGGATTTAGGGGTTTAGGGTCTGGGGTTTAGGAAGAAAACTCTTTCAGGCAGATGCAGAAACAAAAACAAACCAACAAGCAAAACACGGTCGGGCTGCCCTCTGCCCAGAGCACCGGGCGCCAGCTTGGCTTGGAACAGCTTAGTATTCGCACAGCCACGAACTAAAACTAAAACCCTCAAGAAGTGGAAAGAAGCAAGCAGTCAACCGAAGAGGTTGTAAACTTGCAGCAAGAGTATACCTCTACATATATATATATATATATATATACATATTACACACCTACAATGTCATCATAAATGCCTGCCACTACCACTACAGGACGACCACCACCACCGCCTCCAGCACCAGCACCAGCACCGTCACCAACACCGCCACCCGACCAAGGAACAGACTTGCAATGTTGAAAGGCTGGTATCACCGGCTTGAAGTGTTGAACTTGTGGGGGTGTTTCTGAAGTAGCTCCTGTTGACCGCAAGCCGCGACGGCACGGTGTCAGAGAGCAGAGTAATCGCAGCCTGCCGTCAGGGCGTAGGGTTGAGGGCTGGGCAAGTTGTAGCTGCGTGTCAAGATGCCCAAACAAACACCGGGCATTCGGTTCGGACTCTCGTGCTAAAAGACTTCTTACTTTGGCGAAACCCTAAACTCCAAACCCCTAGACCCCCAAACCCAAAACACAAAACCCCCTAAACCTTAAACGATGAAAACCTTATAACGGCTCTAGAGCCTGATGCCATGTGCGGCTGAAACCCTACAAAAAACAACATCGAGCCCCGAAGCACTAGACTAGAGCTTCTGCGGGCTTCAATACCATGAATATGTCAGAGAGCCCCACGAAACTTCTAGAACGACTACAAACGCAGCCTTTAAAAGCCCTAAACCCTGAAGTCTGAACAAAGAGGCCACGAAGGAAGCCGGGTCGTTCAGGCTCCGGGTCCTGTTACAGTAGAAGCCAGAAAGTTGGAATATCATTATGGTAACCCTTTAAGGTAACTTATAGGGGATCCTACCATGAATCCATATTCCAACTTTCTGGAGTTCCCTTTACGGCTTCTACTGGGCATCCTAGTTATGGTTTTGGATTCCCTAAACCCTAAACCCTAAACCCAAAACCCAAAACCCAAAACCCTCTCTCCTGTGGTTCAAGGGATCAGGCTTTAGAGTTGAGGGTTTGGGTGAGGCAAGGGTCCCAGAGACTCCAATATCCCTTAACTAAGGTTATAGTAGGATCCCGAATCCCTAACATGATTTAAGGGATATTGGAACCCCCTACACCCTAAACCCTATAGCTCCCTGATAGACCCCTTGAATGAACCCTAGGTTTTCCAAAAAAAAAAAAGGAATCAGCGAAGTCCCACAGCTTTAGCCCTTGGGTGCTTTCTGTTGGCCTTTGGACGAGGGATCAGATTAAGCCATGTCCCACATCCTTACCTTTGGTTAGTAGGGAATGGAAGAATGGTAGTAATGGTAGTTATAATTGTACCCAATTCCTCCATTCCCGGCTAACCAAAGGTAAGTCTCAGATGCAGGTCTGCAGCCATCGCGCCTTCCAGCGCCCAGCGGTGCTGCAGGCAGCGATTGCAGAACCGACGGTCATGACCTCATCATGATGGATGTTGCGCCTCCAAGCGGGGTTTGGGGTTCATTTAGTGCCGGCCTAGATGCGGTGATGGGTTGTGAAGAATAGCCGCATGCCGCATATGACAGCAAGAACCGTAACAACGATACTGAGAATACTAGCCATGGCGTCCTAGCTTAGGTGCTTTAGAACCCCATCCACAGGTCGCCCCCCCTAAATCGGGTGCGAACAGTAAAGTGTTTTATTGTTCCGGGTGTTGCTTTGAATGGTTTCAGTTCTTGCGACAAGTGCTTCGGAAACTGTTCCATTCTTGCGTCAGTTGCTTCGTAAAGTGTTTAACCACGTGTGCCAGGTTTTCTCTACTTTGAAGTCAGTTTCGATCCTGTACATCTGGTTTTTCTACTTCAACCTCTACGTTGTCTGCCCCATTTGGTGCTCTATCCATTTTAATTTGACTGTTGTAAGAATCTTAAAAAAATGTTGTAACGATTGCTTTGGCAATCAAAACAAAAGTCGCAACAATTGTTTCGACAGTTCCAACAATTGCTGTAACAGTTGTGAGAATCAAACAAGTACCACAACATCTGCGACAAGTTCAAAAGAGTTGCAGCGGCGCCTGGGTGCACCAGTTTAGCACTGGAGGTTCTAAAAACACCTGGGTCTTAGCCATATTCAGAACCAGCCGAAGAATGATACTCACGGTGCCAATCATCGTACTAGTAGTGTCATGAAATTTATCAACACCCATGGCAATGTATAATAACCCATGGCGGATTAAGGCCCCGCACATCTGCAGATCCTTGTAGGGAGGCCGCCAGTCGCAGCGCACGCGGCCAGGAGCCTGCACCAAGAGCTCTGTTCTGAGGCTCTGAGTTTTAAGGTTTGGCTTGAGGGTTAGACCCTATAAACCCTAAACCGTAGTTAGACCGTATACCCTAAACCGTTTTGGCTTGAAGTTTAAGTTTAGGTTTTGTTGCGAAGCGCAATGCCTACTCAACTGCAGCAGATCGGTAGATGGTAGTTTCAAGTAACTTATAACTACCCACGAACCTCCAAGTAGGCCCTTACCCTTATGGATTCCCCATAGATCCCTTTAAAGGGACCCTTAAAGGAACCCTTATACCTACCCAATGACCCTCCAAGTAGTCGAGGGCTTAGGGTGTTGGGTGGACGGCTTCAGGTTCTGAGCTGAGCATTCAGCCCTACGGCTCCATGTACCCACATAGTATATACTTAGGCCTTAGAGTACCTACATAGGGATGCCTTTTTGAGGGCTTAAGTATCTACTATAGTGGTACATGGAGCCTTTGGGCATGCATTGAACTACCAAAACCTTGTTCTTGTAGGGTCCCTATACATTCATGTAAATGCTGTATGAGAGGTAATAAGTCATCATCATCACAATCACTTGCAAGGCCCTAGTGGGCTCAGGACTACTACGGGCTTAGGCGTCAAGCAATGGCTTCGGCTAACAGGTATATGCTCTGGTTTCCGACCCACTGCCCTGAGGCCCCGAAGATTTTAAGAGCAGGGCAACAGCCAACATGGCCTTCAAGTGCAGCAACGGCGGTGTTGATGGACCTAGGCTGTCTGCCAGCAGAACGGAGCACAAAGGCCGCCTTACATGAGAATTTACTCTAAACCCTGACCGTTGCAAGTTGGAGCGGGGAACGCACCGGGGTACTCCATGCCGCCACGATGGCTACAAACCCATTTAGGGTTTATAGGCCGGTCTCAGGGTTCCAGTTTTAAGTTTAGGGCTACTGTTGAGGCCGCTAGGGCTCTGAGGACTTAGCATTTCAGGAAGCCAAAACCGACAACGAACCCTCATCCGAGCCAGCAGCACTATGCAACTGTAGACTGCATTTGCATCCTAGACCGCTTGGGATTTAGGGCTTACCCAAAACCCCGAAGAGCCTACCTTTCTAGGGTTCCTTAACATGAGTTCCCCATATAAGTCCTTAAAAGGTAGATATTCCGGGCTAATGCAGGGAGTGACTTACACCTAAACAGACCCAAGACCGAAAAACCCGCAACCACCTCAAATCCTCAGCCCAGCACCATCTGAATGACCATCTGAGCCCTGTCTACAAAACTTGAAAGCACACTCTGACGGCCGTGGAACAAGCCATGGATGTGGATCCTAAACTTAGACAGGGTTAAGGGTTCAGGGTTGCCAACAAGGTGTCAACTGATGCTCTCATGGTAACCCGCTCAGGATCCAAAGACTATGCTACCTAACCACTAAGCCCTATGTAAACCCTGAACCCTAACTCCAAAAGCCCGAAATCTAGTGCGTTCCGGCTTCGAGAAGGGCTGAACGCTTTATAGGTCTCGGTCTGAATTCGTGGAACTCAGCGTAGCTTTAGGGTGTAGGGTTGAGGGTTTAGGGTTTTTTTTTGAACTCCTTTGTTACCCTCGCAGATCCAGTCTACTAGGAGGGTTTAGGGTTTAGGGTTTGGGGTTTAGGGTTTGCGGTTTAGGGTGTAGCGCTGAGGGTATAGCTTTGAAACCCGCTCAAACGATGGTAGTATAAAAACTTATATCATTATCGTAAGAGGCCCAGCTGCACGGTGTCTGGCGACAGGTGCTCTCTCCTGCAGCCCCTACTGTAAACACTGATGGGGCGGGGGTTCTGGAGGTTACGGGGGTTCTGGGGGTTTGGGGTTTAGGGGGTGGGGGGGGGGGGTTAGGGGCTTGGGTTTATGTAAGATAAACGCCGTCTAATTAAAAGTGGTGTACCTATGTCCTATGTTCTATAAGGACATTGTTTTCGACGGGGTCGGTTGTTCAAGGGCGCTTGGGTCGTGGCAGTGTGTTGAAGTTGCGAGAAGCTTTTTTTGGATTTCGGTCTGAGGCTTCGGCAGGGCTTTAGGGTTTAGGGGGGTATAGGGTTTAGGCCCGAAATACCCCGACCATCAAACAGATCAACGCAAAACCCATCGAAACCCTACAACAGTCTGCAGTCTGACGACGCTTACAACTTACAAGTGTCAGGCATACCCTGCAAAGCCACCTAAAACCTAGACATCCCCAAATACCTCAACCTACGGTTGATGATATAAATCCTGCATTACCTAAACTCTGGGAATTATGGGATATTTCTTATTGTGGGTAATGCAGGATTTATATCATCAACCGTAGCATCGCCAGGGCCATAAGTGCTCAGATTTCTTCGGGGCGGAGGGTTCGGAGGCTCCCTGATGCCATCTATATAGTTCGAAGTCCGATGGCCTTCAGCTTCAGGGATTAATAACTTACACCACTACTAGAGTAGAGGGTTTAGGGCTCGGTCAAAGAGTGGTTCATGGATCGGGTTAGCATAAACCTCTGCTTGATAATCACGGTTTAGAGGCGGGTCAAAGCATAATCCGGACCCTGATCCCCATTGGTATTTGGGAAGCAAGGAAAAAGGGTTCAAAAGGAAAGGCCAATGCCCTCTTTGCTTGCGAACTCCTCTTGTCCCTCAGCACTCATATGGGAGTTTCCGAAAATAGGGGTACCTTATTTTGAGCTCCTTAGAGTAGGGATCCTAATATTTAGGGTGCTATATTAGGGTCCCCTATTTTCGGAAACTCCCATATACTCTCAAGCACCCCCAGGCCTCGCCCAACCCTGGCCCGAAACCGGCTAGAATCGGAGAAACCTCGTAAGCTTAAGTGGGTGAGAGCTAAGAGAAACCCCACAACATCTCAAGAGGGTTTAGGGTTTAGGGTTTAGGGTTTAGGGTACCGGCCCGGCCCCTCAGAATGGGCTCTCTGGAGCTTCGGGGTTTTCAAGCCCCGAAGGCCTCATTTGCTCCAGGAAGAAGGAGGCCGTCGGCCAGCGGTCAAACCCACAGCTCGGAAGAACACTGTTGAAACCTGAATGGCTTCAGGGCTTCGGATGGTTTAGGGGTTTAGGGCTTCGGGTTTAGGGCTTCAGGGCTTCGGGTTTAGGGGTTTAGGGCTTAGGGGTGGGTTTGGGGCCTGCGGGGGTGGGCTTCGGACTAAGGGGCTTGGAAATTACATAGTTGGTGCCGTACTATAATACGGACCTAAGGGGCCATAATTTTGACAACCACCCATGTGGGAAACCCTCAACCTGCAAAATCGCTAGTGGTCCCCGAGTGTGCCATGTTTTGCCGTGCTTATACACTAAAAACCAGCACGAGGGGCAACATGTCAGACGCAGCAAAGCAGCAACTACCATGGATTCAGAACTGGCAACATCCCAGGGTTTCTAACCGTTGCAGAATGCATCAACATCAACCAATCCCGTGACTGCGAAGGGTGATGTTGGACTGCTAAAGCCATGACTCCTCGTCCTCCTGGTTTAGGGCCGTCGAAGCTGCCCCAAAACCGTAGACATCCTCAATCCCAGTTTTTGCAGAACCAGAAAAAACAGGCGATGGTGGAACCGCAGAAGCCCTAGTCAAAGTCGCCCCCAACACAGAAAATCCCAGAGCTGAGGTGCAGTAGGTAGTCAGCTCGATCCCGTGGCGTAAGCTCAACAAGAGGGCCATGGCCTGGATGGTGTTTTCTCGAAACTTTCAGCTTGAGAGGTCGAGCCCGGTAAATGAGTGGCCGGAACCCGCTACTTCGCTTGGCTTGAGAATTTGGGGATGCAGAAGGGGCTGAGCATGGCTGCGTTCGTTTAGTGGGAGTTTCCGAAAATAGGGGACCCTAAAATAGCACCCCCAAAAGCAGGGTCCTTATCATAAGGACCCCATAAGAAGGTATCCCTAACTTTCCGAAACTTCCATCTCGGGCTTTGGGGTTTGAGTGTCTGGGATTGGGCTTAAGGCATCTCCGATCTCGCAGTAGATCCTCTACTTGTAGGGTCGGGGGACTTAGGGCTCCTTTAAAGGGGATCCTAAGGGTTCCTTTAAAGGGCTCTACAGGGGTACTATAGGGTTTAGGGTTCAGGGACTTAGCAAGTAGGTAGTAAGTAGACGTATAAGTACCCTAAAAGGGACCCTAATTGGGGTTGTGGTACTTATAGGTCCCTAAAGGAACCAGTTCCTAAGCCCCCTAAAGACCCTCCAACAGCAAGCGAATATGAGGTAGCGTTTAGGGTTTAGGGTTTTTGGAGACAAGTTTTTGGGGTTCAGGGTTGAAGTGAGGACCGGTGACATTCTCCATGACGGAGACAAGGATGTTGGAAGATCCCGGAGGGGACATGCG